GAGCAGAGGTGGCGCTTGGGGACATTGTTTAGGCTAATCTGCCCTTGATTGGTTTAGTGTGGACTTGGTAGTGTAGGTTAATGGTTGGACTGGATGATCTTAAAGGTCTTTTCCAACCTAAATGATTCTATGATTCTATGATTCGTCTTCTGAGTCAGGGCCCTTAGCTCTGCACCCCCCACCCCTGCTCCTGCACATCTCCACCTCTTGCACAGGCAGCCTGACCCCGACCTGACTCAACACAAGGTGCCCAAACGGCATTCACAGCCTGGGCACGCACGCGAGCGTGACTCCTCGCTCCCGGTGGCGTGGCTGGAGTTACGTGGCTCGCAGATGCAGGGCTGGGTATTTACATATTGCCAGATCTCAGCCAAAGAGCATGCAGAGCCAGCCTCCTGCCAGGAAAGATTTCAAAGTGTTTTAAACAAATCATTTATGATTCAAGAACTGCAGCCTGTGCTAGTGAGAGAGGCAGCAGCAGAGAAAGGTGTGTGGGGCTGGAGAGTCAGCACCAGCACCAGGAGCGAGCTTGGGACGCAAGGAGAGGCGCAGAAGGTGGCAGGGTCTCTCTCGTCTTCCCAAAGCCCTGCAGGTTTCTTCACTTTCCTGCCTGCAGCCTCCCCCGACCCAACCCCGTACTGTGAGGCTGGGGCGTGCTCTGTGATACGAGGAAAATCGGACACACTGGAGCTTGCACCGCAAAAGCTGCAGCCCTCCGCAAGAACGGCTGCTCCGGTTGCGCTTGGTTCAGCGAACCCTGAGGGCGAGCGGAGCCAGGATTCACAGAGCTAATCCCTGCGTGACACCAAGAGAAATGTTTGCACTGACAGAGCACTGATTGCTGGGAGAGTTTTTCCAAAACCATTGGCCTTCTGTTCTTTTTCGAATCAAACCCAAATTGCTTGCTGAAAGCAGTGAATAGATCTGCCCTATTTGATTCCCTGCCAGGCTCAAAGCTTGCAGCAGAGTTCAAAATACTTGTGGCTTTTAAAATCTACATTCTGGTCAGATGCTGCGTATTTCAGATCAGCCTTTCACACACCCTACAGCTTAGGTAAGCTGGTCAAGAGCCTGGAGTTCCTCAAATCCTCTCGATGCAGAGAGAGGACAGGCTCTTCCCGAGCAGAACAACAATTCACAAAGGTGAAAGATGCGCTTGCCCCCGTTCTCCTCTCAGCCAGCAAACAAACCACAGTCCTTGGCTCCCCAGGAGAAAACAAGCACCCCCTGCCTCAATCATTCTGCTTGACTGTCACAGCTGGAGCGGAGCCTCTCCATAATGCTGGAGCAATGCCGAAGGAAGTACAACAGCATCCCCCTCTCCCGCAGGCAAGGGGAAGGAAAGTCAGTTTTAAGAATTTCTCTCTCTTGGGAATATCTAAAGCAGAATACTCCCTGTATGCAAAAATCCTGCTAATCCCAGGCATGATTTATACTGGAAATGTCTAAGGATTAAAAGAAAACAAAACCAATGAGCTGCTTTGTGATGCTTCACTATTTCAGGTTACGGCTTCTGTTGTTAAATGTGCAGACACACCCGGATGCAAAATGTCATCCGCTTCACGAAGGAGGGACTGGGAAAAAGACTGGACTGTGTCTCTGCATCACAACAATTAGGCGGGAGGCAGCACATTCAAAACTAACATTAGGAAATGTTTTTTCACACTGTAATTAGACCATGAAACCCATAATCACCCTAAGAGTTTAACAAGGTTTGCAAAGGAACTGGTTGCCTCGAAGAGCCTGCACGGCTGACGTGTGGGCAGCAGCCAGACACGTTTGCTTGAAGCCTGTTTCATACTTTCCCAGAAAGCTCCCCGATCCTGGGAAAAGCATAAAACCTACACCCTTTGCTTTCTGCAGCGAGGTGTCCTGTTCCCAACGACGACCAAGCTGCAGCCTCTGACCCAGAGGAGACTGTCAGGGCCACGTGTGGAGCTGACCAAATTTCAAGCAAATAAACTGAAAACTAAGCTTGCCCCACGTGCAAAGGGCTGGACCCATTACTGCCTGTGGACCTGAATGGCCAAAAAAGCAGAGGAAGCCCTGAGGAATGGGGTGACCGGTGCTCTGCCATGGTGGGCACAGAATGAACAGCTCCTGCAGGAGCTCACACCTTGAACGCGCAGCGTGCAGCCTCCCTGCTAAGAAATCCACCCCAACGCGCGTGCTCCCGGCTCCCGCGGCACGTGCAGAGCAAGACGGGCAAAGGAGATGCGGAGAGGCTGGGAGGCAAGCGGTGAGCCGGAGTGGGAAACACGAGGGAGAGGGGCAGAATTTAGCTTTAACCTCTGCTCTTCCAAACCAGCGACCTGACTCAACCATTTGGCTGCTTTTAAAATTCTCAGCTAGAGACCGGCTCCTAGCATTTTGCTCATCGTGCACGGTCAGTTCTCCTAAGCAGCAGGCCAGGTACTCCCTCCGCTCCCCAGCTCACACCCATCGGCACAGGGGCGGGCAGCTTTGCCTGCACGGGCTGGAACGGGCTAATACGGAAGGCGATTCCACTTTCCTGAGCACATCATGAATCTGTAAAATCCAAGTCGATCTGTTATTTCCTGTGGTACCACAGTAGCCCCAGGAGCTCGGGAACAGAAGACTACTAACAACCCACACAGTGAAAAACAGTTTGCAAAGGAAAATATTTTTCCATGTGCTGGCCTAGAAATACATGCGAGGAGCTTCTTAAAGAACCTCTCCTTTTGTAACAAGTTAAAATCCAGGCAAGGCACATGCAGGAACATACCTTCTGGAACAGACTTGAACGCTCTCCTGCCAAAAAATGTCTTAAAAAAATGCAGCATGCAATGTGGATTCAGAACCTGGCCATGGGACACGTATTTCAGCACAGCAGAAGCTGTTGTCTTGGTATTTCTCTGATTTGCTGCAGCCTCTCACGGACCTCAGCCTGGCACAGTCAGAGCAGGCTCTCAGACCGGGGCCCCGTCTCGCCGTGCTCTTTAGCACAGGGGTGGGCGCCCTCCTGA